GTTATTAATTTAAAATATTAGAAATGTGTCCAAATGTTTTCTACATGGTTTCTATACCTTTCGTATTTTTTTATGATTTTATGTTTTTTTGAATTGACCCACCATCACGAAAATATTTTCATTTTTTTGGTTGGTTTTTAATTTTTTATTTTATTTTCAACATCAATAAAAACAAGTATTATTTATCACATGTCTTTTTATTGGACATTATTAATTTAAAATATCAGATAAGTGCCTAAATGTTTTTTTTTACAAATGTCTATATTTTCATATAATGTCTTTGTGTTTTTAGTTCTTTTACTTTTTATTTAAGTAGGGGTGTTATAGTCAAAATGAAGATTTAATGACTGACAGTGGGAGTTAATACCTTACTTATAAGATTTAATGAGAATAATTTGAATGAGTGGTTGTTCAAATTACATTTATGTATTTGCAAATTGAAAGTGGCCAAATAAAAAGAAAAACAAAAAAAAAGAATATATATTTTAGTCAAGCAAAAGTTTCACCTCATTTACACTTTTAATAATAGTATAGATATAGATAGATGTTGTTTGGCAAAAAAAGGGACGGAGGTAGAAAATGGACTAGGAAAATGCAACAATAATGGGGATGCGTTGTTAGAACTAGATCAAAAGTGTCCCAACATTATTTGAATTAGGCAATCCACCATTCAATATATATGAAGTTATGAACATCAACAAGTTTTTTTCTTTCTATCTACTTTTTTCTATAACGTAAAACTTATTATCAGTAGTGATAGTCATTGTTCGTGGTTTTCTTCTCAAGAACCTAGGAACCATTGCATCCAGGTTTCCTTCCATGATAAGTATACCTGTGGGGTCCAGAAGGAGGAGGAACCCGTACAACTGGATTAGAAATGGAGACCAACGCTAGTATGCAAATTTTAACGGAGAAGAAAGTTAACCACAATGGACTTCAAGCTATGTTGACGTAGGCTTAGGGAAGCAGACAAGGTATGACAGTAAGTATTACAAAATATCCGAACAATTATGCGGTTATAACTAAGCTGACATGTCAGTACAAGTGGGCCAAGTGGGTTAACTTAATTATATATATGTATCAGTTCACAAGTGAATAATAACAAGAGAGTATTATCCTCATCGCATGTTGTGTTGAGATTTGCATTTTCTCATCGCAAACTTTTTCCCATATCACATATCCGTGTTTTGTCATGGTATCAGAGCGATGACCACACTTGTTGTGATCTTGACTGATTTTTCTCCAGATTCTTGACTAATTCCTCCACCTCTGGCTTTTGATTTCTCAAAACTCAAATTATTGATCTCCGATGAATCCGTTTTACTTTCTTGAATTTCTTTGGCAACCTTTGTTTTTAATCATGAATTCATATATGAGTTTTGAATCTCCACACTACCTCCATATCTCGGATAATCTGGGGACTATGTTTGTTTCTTGTCTCATAATATGGGAAACTATCCCACCTGGTCTAGAGCTATGCATAATGCATTACGGGCAAAGGATAAGTTTGCCTTTGTCGACGAAACACTGGAACGACCTGAATCTTCCACGGTAGAATGATGAATTTGGGACAAATGCAATTCCATGGTGATTTCATGGATCTTTAATTCCCTAGCTCATGAACTCCATGATAACATTGCATATGTTAATATCGCCAGAGATATTTGGCATGATATTGAAGAAAGATTGGCATAAGGAATACTAGTTGAAACGTGATCTATCAACATTGCACTAGGGCAATCTCTCTGTCGCCTCATACTTCACCAAACTAAAAGGACTGTTTAACGAGTTAGCAATTCTTGCTCCTCTTCCTGATTGTAGTTGTGGTGTGACAAAAGGAATTGTCGTAGAACGCAAGAGGGACAAACTTAACCAATTCTTGATGATTCAATGAGGTGTTCAGCAATATCCGTTCCAACATCATAGCTATTGAACCACTCCCAACCATCAATCGAGCTTATGGTCTAGTGCTTCAAGAAGAATGGCATCAGTCCATACTACTAACCAAAAGTTTAGTTATCCCAGAGGCCGTTGCTTTCTTTGTTCCACGAACCATTGATCGATCTGCTCATCCCAGCTAAAATGCAAGCACTGTAAGTGGACATGTCATATCAAGGGATGTTGTTATGAGTCACATGGCTACCCAAAAGGATGGGAAAAAAAAAGAAGCTAGGATGTGGTCCAAAATAAAGTTCCCCAACGAACATTTGTACCACGATGATCGGGTCTTTACTTGAAAACAAATATTCATCTATATCTATGACTTGCTTGACTCCATAACAATATAATAATCTCATGAGGTTACTCGATGTTGATACTTCAACCATTTGTGCCTCTAATGCAACTAGTAAGACTTCATTTCCTTTTAATAACATAACGCCCACTGTTTGAAATCATTGGATACTTGATAGTGGGGCATCCGATCACATTGCATCTACTTTATCTTTGTTCTTGGACATGACCTCACTATTCTCTACCACCATAGTTCATTTGCCGAATGGATACACCTTTCTAGCCAATCATAAAGGGTCCATTATGTTGGACTCAAATCACATTGTGATGATGTATTATACATTCCCGAGTTTAAATTTAATCTCTTGTCCATTAACAAACTTACGCTCCAATTGTGATGTACTATTGTATTATCTTCTGCTTCTTATACACTTTAGGACACAACTTCGATAAATCTAATTGGCAAGGGGGTGTTGCATAATGAAATCTGATGTAGCGCAATCCGGTCACTCCTAGCTGGCGCTCGTGTGGCTCCTGAGAGGTACCTGAGACGAGAGGAAAAAAGAAGAACTCCCGGGGGGTTTCCCGACGGGAACGCTCCGATGTTTAAGTTAGTATTGAGTGCAAGAAGCAAAAGGAGAACGAAGGCTGAGTGCAGGTTACGCAGGTGATTCGAAGATCCCTTGTTCCTTGAGAATAAGCCCCTTATAGCTGAATTTCGTTGCTTCAGGCCCTCTGACCTCTGACAGGGCAGGTATAACCGCCACTGTCAGTCTGCCACAGCCGTTACAGGCAGGGCTGAGGTGGCACGCATGGGACCGTTGTGCAGGGTACGTGTCTGTCAGGTGTGGGACACCTTTCTAAAGGTGGCAGGCGCGGCGAGGGGGACATGCCTGCTGTCCACAGGTTTGTCGGGTACAGCGGTCGGGCAGGAAGCCCTCCTATGGTATACCGAACTGTTCTCCTACGAATTACCCTGAGCTGGGCTGTCCTTTGACTGACGGGCTGCTTGTAGCCGGTTATGCCGAGCTAGCCGACCTGAGGTCTTTGTGCCTTGGCTCGTCCGGAGAAGAATTGGTGCGTTATTGCTTGGGAGTGGCCCGAGGTCCATTGGGAGGAGCTCGGGTCTCAAAAGGGGTCAGGGTGCCCCGAACTCGAGACCCCCCAAAGTTCCTTAACCCCGGGGAGGAGGTGCGGGCAAGGCGGCTTTCGGCGAGTAGTTTACCTGCCGAGTTGCCGTGCTGAACTCAGCGAGACTTTCCCTCCGAGTTGTGCTCACGTCCGTTGCGT